CGGATGGCGGGCTCCCTAGCGCGAGCGGCCGTCCTTGATGCCCGACCTCCCTTCCACTCGCGCTCCTTTAGCACCGCCGCCCTTCCATGATGTAGGCGCACGCCAATGCCTTGGCACTGCCGCGGCGCCCGGAGCCACCTCGCCATGTTGGAAATACTGTAATATGTCTTGTGTAACGTATGTGGTAGCCTTGAGCTTCACGTATAGGATTAGGAGAGTAGTTAGAGGATCCTTTTATCCTTTTATCTTTCTATCCTTTCTTCTCTCTCTCTCTCGTGTAATCCTCCTCCACGGTTGGAGATCTCAACCGCACCATGTATTCCTACGAGACTAATCCCCTCGTCCCAATCAATATATACCTCGCGGGCTCTCTGTATGAGAGTTGAGACGCTTTACCAATCTTAACATGGTATTCAGAGCCATCTTCTTCCTCCACATCTAGCTCTCCAACAGATTAAACCTAGCCACCATCAAAAACCTCCTTCAGATCAGAACCTAGCACCATGTCTTCTTCCTCCAGTTCGGCTTCCTTCTCTAGCTTGAACAACACAATCTCTGAACCTCTTAGCCGCACCAACTACATCCTATGGCGTGCCCAGGCTCGCTCTCAGATCATGGGAGCCGGTCTCTACGGGTACCTTAACCAAACAACTCCTGAACCTACCAAAACAATCACGTCCAAAAACTCTGAAGGAAAGGAACAGATTGTTCCAAATCCCGACTATGCCCCTTGGTTAATCCAAGACCAGCAGATTGTAGCCTACCTGCTGAGAAACCTCTCCAAAGAAATCCTAGTTCAGGTTGCCTCGATGGAGACATCGCATGCGATCTGGACATCCCTTGCAAACATGTTCGCAGCCCAGTCCGCATCTCGTGTGAATAACCTCAGAATCTCTCAGACCAATGCCCACAAAGGTTTTCAATCTGCTGCTGCTTATTTTGGTCATATGAGATCTCTTTCGGATGAACTTGCAGCTGCAGGAAGGCCCATCGGAGAATCGGAGCTACTGTCCTTCATCATCGCGGGGCTGGACATGGATTATCAGCCCATCATCTCGGCCCTGGATGTCCGCGTCGAGCCCGTCTCTGTTGATGAGTTGTTCGCAATGGTGGCAAACTTTGACCAGCGGGTCGAGCTTTTCCATGGCTCAGGTGCGGGCGGCTTCAAATCCTCGGCCAACATGGCTGCGAGGAATCGCGGCGGCGGCAAAAACAACTACTGTGGCTCGCCCAAACCCACCAATGGTGGTAGTGGCGGGTACCGCGGTGGTGGCAGAGACAACAACGGCGGCAGCGGCTACAACAACCCCAACTACAACAAAGGCGGCAATGGTGGTGGTCCTGCCTACCACAACAATGGTGGCCACGGTCACCACTACAACAACAACGACCAAGGGCGCCCCTTCTACAACAACAACCAGGGGCGCCAAGGTGGCTACGGCGGTGGCTACCGTGGTGGCTATGGCGGCGGCAACAACTTCCAAGGGTACGATGAGTATGAGGGCAAATGCCAAATTTGTAAAAAAAACTAACCACATAGCAAACGATTGTCTTTGGCGCTATGAAGAAAATTCGCAGAAGAAGAAAGTTGCAGCCGCCGCAGATGTGTCCTATGGCGTGGACACGAATTGGTATGCCGATACCGGTGCTACTGAACATCTCACCCCCGACATGGAAAGGTTGACCATGCAAGATAAGTACCACGGCCATGATCAAATCAACACTGCAGCAAACGGTCAAGGTATGATGATAACTCACGTTGGTCAATCTACTATTAAAACCCCTCATAGTGATATTCGTCTCAATGATGTCCTACTTGTTCCACATGCATCCAAAAGTCTTGCTTCTGTTCATAAAATCACTCTTGATAATGGGGTCTTCATAGAGTTTCATCCGTTTTTCTTTTTGATCAAGGATCAGGCAATGCGGAAGGTCCTTTATCGCGGTAGATGCGTGGATGACCTCTACCCATTGATTCCTACACTTTGCAAGTTCAATAAACAAGCCTTTGGAGCCATTAGAGTTTCTTCAGAAAGGTGGCACAATCGCTTAGGCCACCCGTCTTTTTCCACTGTTTATCAAATTCTTAGCAAGAATAAACTCCCATTTGTTGGTGAGCGAAATTGTGAAACTATTTGTGATTCATGCCAGCGTGCAAAAAGTCATCAATTACCATATTCTATTTCTACTAGTGTGTCTGTTAAACCCTTGCAATTGATCTTTTCTGATGTGTGGGGTCCAGCACCCTCTTCCGTCGGTAGACACACTTATTATGTGAGCTTTATTGATGACTACAGTAAATACACATGGATTTATCTCCTTAAGAAACGTTCAGATGTCTTTCAAGTTTTCCATAACTTTCAAGCTCTAGTCGAGAGAAAATTTGATTGTAAAATTATTGCCATGCAATCAGACTGGGGTGGTGAGTACGAGAAACTAAACTCGTTCTTCCAAAAGATAGACATCTCTCACCACGTCTCTTGCCCACATGCTCACCAACAGAACGGTAGTGCTGAACGTAAGCATCGCCATATTATTGAAGTAGGTCTTGCACTACTTGCTGTTGCTTCCATGCCCCTAAAGTTTTGGGATGAAGCCTTCTTGACTGGCGTTCATCTTATTAATATCTTGCCCAGTCGTGTCATCAACAATGAAACACCCACAGAACGTCTTTTTCATCTCAAACCAGACTACGCTCCTCTCCGTGTCTTTGGTTGTGCGTGTTGGCCAAATCTCCGTCCATACAACAATAGAAAACTTATGTTTCGCTCCAAGCAGTGTGTGTTTATTGGCTATAGTGCTCAACATAAAGGAGTCAAGTGTCTCGATGTAGCTACTGGACGAGTCTACATCTCTAGAGATGTTGTTTTCGATGAGACTCTATTTCCTTTTCAGAAACTTCACCCCAATGCCGGTGCCCTTCTTCGTCAAGAAATCCTTCTCTTGCCACCATCTCTTTCTGGCCTTGATTATGAGGGTGCTAAT